TTGGGGGGGTTGTCTTGTAGGCCGAAGCCTCTATTATCGATTTTGGACTACCAAGAGATCTTTAAAGTTAAAGTTTAACATGCGTAACTTTCACACGGGACTTCCGAGATTTTTCGCCCTTATCTGAGAAGACTAAGAGATCTTTCCTAACTTAAGATCAGGGGTGCAGATGAAAGACAGCAGAAGGAGCGAAGGAGTAGCAGTAACAAGGCTGCAGAAAGAATCAGGAGCACAGAGGAGGGGGCAAAGGAGGTCAAGGGGTGGGGGCAGAAAGTGGAGACGAAAGCAGACGACGAGCAGGAAAGGAGGTGAAGGGATAAAATTTTAGAGAAGAAAATTTTCCGTCGCTGTCCGGATCCGAACCCTGGATCTATTGAATGAGAGGCGAACACCTTTATCTCTCGGCCACGCCTGTGGTGTTGTGGTTACGCTCAACTCTCGCTTCGTCATTTCCAGAGTGGGAAATGCTTTTTTCAGTTGGGTTTTTTTTTTGTTTTTGTTTTTTTAGGAAGGTTGTTTTTTGTTGTGTTTTTTGTTTTTGTCTTTTTGTTCTTGTTTGTTTTTGGGGGTTGTTTTTTTTTTTTTTTGGTTTTCATTTTGGACTTGTGCTGTTCGTTCGTTTTCCCAAATCGATTGTGTCCGTATATTATTATCTGCTCTAATTACGTATCTCACTCAGCCCGGATTGGCCCTAAGATACATGATCGAAGGAGCCCGTCTATGTGGGACCACGAAGGAGCCCGTCTATTACATGTGGGGACCCCCCCCCCTCCCACAACTTTCCTATTACCTGTAAGCCTAACCGTAAAAAGACATTGAAGGGTTAAATTATCACGGAATCCTGATTATATGAAAGTGCCAGTTTTTGCAAGACAGCAAAATTATGCCATATATATACATATTATGTACTTTCACATGGACGCACATTGCAAAAATAAAATTCTCCCCAGAAGGCTTCAAGTAAGCAAGACTTTCAGTTTCAGCGAACTCAAAAACGATGAAAATGTGGTTTCATAAAGTTCAAATAACGTTTAATTTGTAACGGCTTGCCTCGTTGTTATGAATTGATTTTCGCTTAGTTGCGGGATCCCGCAATGCTAGTTAGACTGGCAAGAATGTGGATGCATCATCCACGCAACATGCACTTCAGCTGCTGCCGCTGATGGGAGTCACTAGACTAAACATGACCTTGTGCCAAATGTGTCCGAGAGATATGGAGACTTTAACCCTATCCGTACGCCCTGGGGTCATTTTGTACCTCCGGGGTGGTATTCTCACATTTTAGAATACTTCTCGTATGAAGATCTCTTTGAAACTTTCAATATTTCTCAAAAAATCATTTTGACAGACTGCAAAGCAAAGCGTACGGATCGGATTAACGAGTGAATTTCCTCTTTGGAAAGTGGTAGCATAGAGTTCCCCCTCGTCGTATGGATAGGACAGTAAAACACGACGTACGGATAGGGTTAACAAGACTTTCTTAAGACTAAGAAGCTCACATTATTCATGTTGGGAGACGTTTGCGAAAACTAAACGTGTCTGCCTGCACGTTGATGCGTGCCACCATATTCTGAAAACCCACAAGCTTTATATAGCTCTTTCTGACGACAGTGGTGTTTTGATCTTACATAATATAACCGCGTTTTAAGAGATTTATGTTTTTACTGTAGATGGTTTTACTCCCCCATCGACAAAAATTCGATCATTTAGAAGACAAGCTTCCCACTCAACCTGCCACGGACAACCAGGGCTAAGAGGGATACAACATCCCAGCAGAAAGACCACCGAGATACCCAATAAAAATCCTCCTCACTCAGAAATCGAGCTCTGGTCTCCTGCTTGCGACAGCGAAGCGCCTAGCTGCTACACCAGACGCCAGTAGTGATTTTTGAAAAGTACCGTTATATTAGGATGCGGTGGCGGAGTGGTCAGTGCGCTCGTCTCCGAAGCGGAAAGCCCGGGTTCGAGCCTCGGTTCGGACACTGTTTTTTTCGCCCCCTCCTGGCCACCCAGCAGTAATGGGTACCTGACTTCGAGTTAGGGAAGTAAAGGCAGCGTGTTAAGGAACAGGCCAGCCTACCACAATATTTTTATAATGCCCAAACCCAGGAAGTAGTCTCATTGACAAGGCAATCCCCAGTGTTCGGATCGGATGCGGGAACAACTTTACTTTATATTTCCTAGCACAGCTAATACTTATATTTACTTACGCTGGGATTTTTAACCATATTGTTTTCTTTTTTTATTCTTGGTTTTTGTTGTTTTCTTGTTTTGTTTGTTTGATTGTTGTTTTTGTTTGGGGTTTGTTTGTTTGTTGTTTTTTTGGGGGGCGGTTAACTTTTTAGGGGAGGGGGGCAAGGTCTGTCGTGTTACCTCGTCTCACTTTGTTGCCAGCACTAAACAAAACGCTTCGGACTACATACACTACGTAACACTGCATTAGGCTACTTTGCCAAAGTATTTCCTTTCAACTTGGTCAAACAAATCTATTATTAGCGTTAAATATTATCGTAAGAACTGTACATTATTGCGAAATGTGTTTGAGTTTGAGCAAAGGGAAGCACTTCGATATAATAATGGTCATTTAGTGCTGGGGGGAAAAAAGGAAGAGATATAGAAACAATTAGCCAAAGAGCACATGAAGTAGGACATACCAGTGGCACCCTCTACCCACTAACGGCAAAACGTGTAAGAGATAACATAATAAATATTTATCTCATCCAATGATTGACTGATTAGATATTTTACGGAAATAGCCCTTCCGACACAAATCAAATTTACCTTTTTTTTTTGGGTTGGTTTTTTTTTGTTTTGTTTTGTTTTGTTTCACCAGGGCTACAGAACTATGAACACAATGTAAATGTAACTCATCAAATTTACACTTGTTTTTGTTTGTTTGTTGTTGTTGTTTCACCACGGTTACTGAACTACCGACACAACATAAACTCATCAAATTTACCCATGCTTTTGTTTGTTTGGTTGTTTGTGTTTTTTTTGTGTGGGTTTTTTGGGAGGTTTTGTTTTTGTTTCACCAGGGCTACGGAACCATCGACACAATGTAATTCATCAAATTTATCCTTTTTTTTCACCAGGGCTACGGGCGGCCAGCCCAACACCCGTTATATGTGACCAGTAGCTCGGTGTACGGCCGCCACCCACCCCCACCCGGCCTGCAAGCCAAGAGGCGAGCCTTCCACAGTCGCTTCACCAAGACCCAGGCACTCGGGGGGATGTACGAGGACACCCACTTCACCACGGAGACAGAGTCCCAGCTTGTGTACACACCGGCTAATGACACCCATACGGGCCCGTAGACCAACAGAATGTTCGTGTATTATGTGTATAGGCCCACCCATAGAATTATCTCCTTTTTAATCATATTCGTACGTCGTGTTTTACTATCGTATTCATACGACGTGGGGAACTCTGTGCCACCACTTAACCGTATCCGTACGTCGTGTTTTACTATCGTATCCATACGACGTGGGGAACTCTGTGCCACCGCTTTCCAGCCAAAGAGGAAATTTACTCGTTAATCCGATCCGTAAGCTTTGCATAGCATCATCAATCATCAATGCCTTTCACCCCTGGCAGGGGGAAGGCCACATACAAGCTCCTTCCATTTATCTCTGTCCTGAGCCATCCTTCCAAGCTCGTTCCACCAAGTGAGCTTCATTTCTCTCATGTCCTTTCCACGCATCTCCTCCATGTTTCCCGTGGCCTACCCCTGCCTCGTGCCCCTTGTGCATAGCAGTCTGTGAAAATGATTTTTTTAAAGAAATACTGAAAGTTTCAAAAAGATATTCGTACTAGAACTATTCTAAAATTTAATGTGAAGAATACAACCTCGGGGGTACAAAATAACACCGCGGCGTACGGATAGGGTTAAACCTAGTAGTATTCTTCTGACATCCACAGGCCCACCCCCAACTGATACTTTGTCACGACTTTGTGTATGCAAGCCTTATATACATGTAATATGTAATCAAATTCTAATGAATTAATTTTGCATCTGACGATCTGCGTTTCGTGTGTGTGTGTGTGTGTGTGTGTGTGTGTGTGTGTGTGTATGTTTGTGTGTATGCGTGTGTGTGCGTGTGAGTGTCCGTGTGCGTGTGCGTGTGTCTGTGTTTGTGTTTGTGTGTTTGTGTGTGTGTGTGTGTGTGTGTGTGTGTGCGTGTGTGTGTGTGTGTGAGTTTGT